AAAAATGCACACAGCAACGACACATTTGTTATACTTTCCATCTGTGGTGCTCGCTTAAGTTTCAGTTGTACCTATTTATTATGTTATTATTTACATTCAAATGAAATCTGGGGAGAAATACAAATAAGACATTCTTATTCCTGACTCACTATGCTGGATACGGTGGAAGACTGCACCACCTCCTTCAAAGAGAGCAACTGTCTTTCATATTAGCCTGTGACATTGTTTTCATGGCTGGGGATTCTCAAATGACTGAAATGGCCCTATAAAAGCTGAAAAGAGGGCTGGATTTGTGGCTCAGTGATAGAGTACTGGCCTATCATCTGTGAAGCACTGGGTTTGATTCTTAGCACCACATAAAAATAAATAAATAAAGATCCACTGGCAACTAAAACACTATTTTAAAAAAATAAAAAAGGAGCCTACACCTATCTTGAGTATCTTGAACCTATTTCAATCTTGAGCTTAGAGTTTGAACTTTCAGAACCCTGAGAAAATACATCCCTGTTGTTTCAATCACCCAGTCTGTGGCAGCCCTAGCCCATAATAAAATGCCCAATAATTCTGGACAGAGAAAGATGATACTATGTTCCTCAATCATATCTAAATGTTTTCTCAACAAGAGGGCTAGGTCACATTTGCAAAATATAGGAAACAACATATATAGCTTTTTAGATAATGCCAGATAAATAAAAGTAGCTAACTTTATTCAGAGGAAGGATTTGAAGCTGAAATTAGTTGAAAAATTGCTTCTTTATTCAGATTCAACCTGTTTCAGATGCTTTGCTCTGTAAACATGCAGGATACAGTCCAGTGTGGCAAAGAATAAAATCAAGATTGCCATTTTCAAACTACTATTTCAAGAGAAGAAATATTTCATTGTTTATGTAGCTGAGAACATTTAAAACGTTCACAGGAAAAATTCAATGTAAACCAAATCAACTGTCTATGGCATGGTACCTATCAAAGAGGAAAGACAAAAGTGGATTTCAATAGGAAGCTTGTACTCTCAGATCAGCCCCCTGGAAGTTATTAGAAATCCTATAATTAAAAATGGTTACTTTAAGAGGATATGGTTTGGTCTGCCACCTGACTTACAAAGCCTGTTTTTTTGTGTGTGTGTGTGCCCTCCTTGAAGAGGAAAGGGGAAAAAAATTAAGGAAACTACAAAAACTTTCAAAATATTTAAAGCATTTTTTTAAAAAGGGTAAAGAGCTGGGCATTGTTGCGCATGCCTGTAATCCCAGTGGTTTGGGTGGCTGAGGCAGGAGGATTGCAAATTCAAAAGCAGACTCAACAACTTAGCAAGGCACTTAGCAACTCAGTGAGACCCTGTCTCTAAATAAAATTTGAGAAAAGGGCTGAGGATGTGGCTCAGTGGTTGAGTGCTCCTGAGTTCAATCCTCAGTACAAAAAAAAAAAAAAGGCAAAGAAAGACTGTATTATATCTTAATGTTTGATGGGATATTTTGGTATCATGTGTTGGCTTGCTTTCTATATAAATTGTAGATATATCAAAGAGGAAAGACAAAAGTGGATTTCTCATATGTCCTAGTCTTTTCTTGTAAGGACACCAGTAGTATTGGATTGGGCCCCCATGACCTTATTTTACCTTAATTTTCTCTTTAATGGCCTTATCTGCAAATAGTCACATCATGAGATAGTAGGGTTCAAGATTTAAGTATATGATGTTGTGGATTGGTGGGAGACGTAATTCAGTCCATAAAAGGCATGGTGTGGCATTTTTAGGGTGATTTGTTTGCTCTTTTAGTTTGTCTCTGCTCATGCTCCAAGTTGATAGAATAAAATTGTAGAGGACAGATATAATATATAAAATGTCTACAAGTTCATCAATATTCACTTTATTAATCTTTTTTAGCTCCCAGTGAAGCTCCCTCCTCTGAGAGATATCAAACAACCTTGACAGCTGTACCTTTTTAAAGTATATGGTGCTATGCCCTCTATAGAGCAATATATAATGCAAGAAGAAAGTGGTGCTTAAATTCCTAGTCATGCTCCTTTTTTCCTTGGAAATTACCATTGACTTTCTATAGCTATCAAAGATCTATTTTTTAGTTCTCCTTGGTAAGAAAAATTGTTCCTAATAGCTGTAGTCAACTTTTTTTCTTTCACATACCTATAATATATATATTATTACTTATATAGAGAGAGTTCACTCAAAAATAAGTAAGTAAAATGTACTAAAAACTCTTCATGAAGAGCACTTTTTTAAGACAGGCTTATATGGACACAACTTTTAGGTATATTTTTGTGATCTCATAAAAATCACAAAGGATTTGAATTTGGAGCTTCACATATAATCAATTCTGTTTATGTGCTTTAACCCAAAAGTTACAACCAAAGTGAATTTCAGATAGCCTAAAATTAGAGCACCTAAAATTAGAATCCAGGACAGATCTTGAGACTTAGTAAAGATGACTAGATGTCTTGATTCAACCAGACTTCTTCCCAGTATTGGACTCTGGTATGTAATGTTTTTTGGTGTTCTCATATGAAAAATTTCATCACACTGAGATAAACCCTACAAAATAACCAGGATGGTTTATGATGTTTGCTGGGGGTTTCCATTGCTTGAGTCCCTAATATATTTTGCCTTTTGGACTTGATTCACCTTCCCCACCATAGTGAATATGTATGTTTCCTTGTGCTTTCCTAATGTTTTTCAGATAGATTTTCCCATTTGATAGCAAACTACTATATTTCTCTACTTATTTGTTGCCAGTGGTGGTTTCTTAAGAAAAAATCATTCCTTATTACCCCTTTAGCAATCTCAAACCTATGCACCCAATGTCATTTCCTGTTGGACTTTTCAGATAAATTTTTGATAGCGATAGTTGTATATGTGCGATTGTGTGTACGTGTGTGCGTGTATGTTTAGGTTTCCACTTAAAGTTCAGTGCCAAAGCTACAGTACTTATACATTTTCTAAATGTGTTTTAAGCAATAAGTTGTACAACATTTTTAGAACATGTGTTAAGCTATTTCTCTAAGAATGAAGCTCTTAACAAAACATAAGCACTCTGCATGAGATCTTAGCAGCAAAGTGCTTAAAAGATAAAGTAAGAATTGGTACCATGGGAAGAACACCAGCTGTAGAGCGCACAGGTCCATTATGAGAAGTATGGTAGTGGGTAGGGAGAAAATGATTTAATCAGGAGTAAAACCAATTTTATTATAAGGGCACGCAGGGGGTGTGGCACCATAGTGAGAGGGACATTTCAAAATATCTGACAGATTTCAACAATGTGAAAACCCCGTTCTTTAAAGTGACAGTAAACCCCATCAGGTCTCCCTTTTTGATGCTATTGTTAACAGTTGACTGTTTAAAGCTGGCCTGCTAAGATGCTGTCGGCCTATTTCAATAGTGTGTAGCCAAATAAAAGACTAATTGTTGAACTACAATCAATCAAAAATGATTGCAGGGCAGAAAGAAGGTCTCCTCTGCTGATTTTCTTGTGGATCATATTATTGTGTTATAATTGAGGTAGGAATGAAGATTGAAAAGGAAGAAGAAAATAGTCCATCTGACATAAACAGATCCACCTAATTTCTCTTTTTTGCCCCCAATATATTATTATATAGGAACATCACTTACTAGTCCTAAAAATGATAGCCCATTAGAAAAAAATAAAAGATCTGAGAGAGATCTGGGCTAATATTTTTAAAAGGGTATGAACATTATTAGCAAAACAGCTCATGCAGAGAATCCCTACAGTGACAATTCTCGGCTTTCCTTACATTTTTTGGTGAGAAATACTCCTCAGCATTCATGAAACTGACACGGAGGAGGCATGTGACTGTGAGCCCAAGACATCAGTAAAGAAACAAAATTCTAGTTGATCATATACCTGTTAAGTTCTTGCAGGATTCTCAGCTTTTCAGTTAACCCCCAGATTGTATAAAACAATTATTTTTTTGTTTTCTTTAAGCCCAGTATCTAAAACATTTTCCATGTTGCACATTCAGAAAGACAAATCCTAGGGATCAACAGCAATACCTTTGTCTTGCTTTCTTTTAATTGTATGTAAAGATGTCACTCTCCGACACAAATACGTCCATTTCTTCAAGAGAATGCTTCCAGACTTTCAGATTGCTGGGGGAAAGGAAGATAACAACTGCCTGGCACATTTTATTTCAACTAAAACCTTCATTCTGGCAGTTACTTTCTTTAGTATTTCAGCGTCTCAACTCACACCTCCCAAGCAAAGACTTCTCTTGTTTCTAAAGAGTTGGTAAGCACTTGTGGTTTGTCTTCAGTGTGTTATCATTTTTGACAGCTTTGCATAGCCTATGTAGGCCAACAGGGGTCTGTCTAATATTGTTGCTGGGCACATTCTCCTCACTGAGATGAAAACTGAAAAAAAAGATATTTTTGAAGCAGTAAGAAGGAATTAATATCCTTTCTCACTCAGCATTCTATTCCTTGCTGACTTTATATTCAGGCAAAAAAAAAAAGGGAAAAAAAAGTGTTACCCATTATTCCCTTGTACATAGCAAGGCTAACACATGTAAAGCAATAACTCATTTTCTATTGCCATGTTTAGCATATGTCTCCTGTTGGCTCAGCAAGGCCTTTAGGCCGGTCCCTTGAGCCGGCCATCATTGGCAACTCTTAGCCCCTCAGCCTCAAAACCAAATAGCTTTGAATCATGTTGAGCTGTGATGCTAATTTTCATACTGATGCATTATGGGAATAAATGTATCTGACATACTGTGTCAATGGCACTGTCTCTTTGTGTGTCTTGTTTTTTGTTAGCTGCATTCCTACAGATGGTATTCCATTGAAAATGTTCCCTTCCTACGGAAAAAGGGGAGGGAAAAAAAAAAAAAGAAAGAAAACCACGCACAGTACCAAACCTCTAGGTGCAGAAGGCTGTTAACGGTTGCTGATGATAGTAGGCAAACATTAACATAATAATTAGTGTCTTGTAATTGTTTCATTAAAACCAGTTGTTCCATTTCTCCTCGTGTTTTCCCAGAAGAGAAGCTGAATTTGGACGACAGCCAGTGGGAGGACATCCACGTTGTCACCGGAGCACTGAAGATGTTTTTCCGGGAGCTGCCTGAGCCACTCTTCCCCTACAGTTTCTTTGAGCCATTTGTGGAGGCGATCAGTAAGTACCTCTCAGAAAGAAGCAGTCATCAGAATAGCCTGTCATCATGGAATTATTAAGTAAATAATAAGAATAATGATCATAAAAACGAAGGAGAACAGATAATGTTCCCAATGCTCCATGTCTCTCATTTTAAATTTTGTGTTTTTGACAGCTTGTCTTATTTCTGACCCAGTAATATTATTTGAATATTTTTTTACAAAAGATATCATTCAGAAAAAAAGAAGATAGCATCATATTTAGAGTAACCAAATGTAACTATATTTACTCTAATGAAAGTAACATCTCATGGAATCTGTTGTAAAGAGGTCACCATTTGCACTGGCTCCTGCCTTTATACTTTCAGAATTCCAATGAGTTTGCAGACAAAGGGGTCTTATAAAAGAACATAACTAATTAAATATTACATCCTTAAATATGTGTTAAATCATCAAGTGAGACATCATGTTCCCTTGGTTCAGTCTAGTAAATAGCTGCAGTTTGCTTATGAGCACTGTGAAAACCAAATTAAGTGGTGGTGAGTTTCTTCTGTTTAATGGGTGACTTAGGGAAAGTGAATTAGATCACTTACTAACCAATAGCAATTGTACACTCTGTAAAGCCTCCCTTGCTATTATTTTCTAATTTATAAAATAGACACACAAATAAGAATAAACAAATAAGTGAATGAATGAATGAAGATCTTTTCCATATGCAAGAAAACTTCTGCTATAGATCCTTGAAAAGCAAATACTGGTACATCTCTAAATTTAATATCTTAGGGTACATTTACTATAATTGTGACAGCTTGGAAAAAGTTTCCTGGCAAGCTAGCTGATATAAGGAGGAAAGAGGAAGAAAGAAGAAAGAAAGGTAAAATTAAAAAGCTTGCAAGCCTGGCAGGAGCTTAATTAAAGTCCCAACAAGAAAAATCTCCAAGAAAAAATGTTCGACTTAGGAGGTCTAATCTTGGATGACTGTGTGTGCAGGGTTCCCAGGAGTTAGAGTGGGGATTTAGGGGCCCATATTGGAGAACAGTTCCTCAACATGTCCTTTCATTTTTATTTTCACTCGCAAAAGTCTTCACATTTGTTTAAAGCTCTGGTAAAGTGAATCAAGAGGACTAAAGAAGAGGGTTTTCTCCCATGGTCTTTCTTTTGTTGCCTGCTCACAATTGCAGCTTTGGTTGTTGCTGTCACCTTTGTTTAACGTAATAACAGTCTTCTCATAAAGGGTCTGGCAAGAGGGGGAGCTCTTATCACTAATTATGACTTTTCATTTCATAAATAAATATAGTCCACTTCTCAAGGTGAGTGAAGTTTTATAGTTCTCAGGTTCTCTTAATGTCATAAAAAGAGGAGGAATAAAGAAAAGTAGGCAAGCATGCATTTCATAAAACTTATTTGGATATTCTGTCTTGACATGCACAAGCCTGGAGGAACATTCACACGGAGGAAAGCATTTTGGTGGGAAATTAGAGTGATTTGCATTCAGGCACCTACTCTGTGTTTATTTAATGATATAATGTCATATTAAACTTCATACTTTCAAGTGAGAATTATCTCCTTTGGAAACATACTTGCTATGTATGCTGATTCATGGGCTTTGATGTAGGATACCCATCACTTAAATTTCCTCTAGTTCAACTGATTTCAAAAATAGTAGTCAAGCCATTCCCTTAGCTTAAGAGAAAGGAAATCAGGCCCTCAAAACTCAGGTGAGGTTGTGACCTTTGAATTGCCATAAAGAGTAGGACAATCTCTGAGATATCCTAGACTTAAATCCAATTTGAACAGAATTTCAGAGATGCAAACATGGTCAGAACTGAATACAGCAGAGGAAAGACAGGCTGCATGCTTGGGATCCAGGGCTTTAGCAAGTGCTTCTGCTGACTCTTACAGAATGGGTTATGGTGAGGATGAATGAGATAGTGCTTAGGAAACTCCTTTTAAAATGTAAGATGATGTACAGGTGCTAATAGCATTTGTCCAGGGGAACTGTGGTTGGAAAAGTAACCCAAAAGAGAAGAGACAGGAAAGTTTTCTTTTCATTGTTCAAGGCAAGGAGAAATGGGGATATTGTTGGAATACTTGTGTTCCATCAAAATTCACGTTTGGAAATTCTAATCTTCAAGGTGATGGCATTGGAAGTGGGACTTTTGAAAGGTGATTAGGTCATGAGGGCAGAACACTGGTGATGGGATTAGTGTCCTTATAAAGAGATCCAAGAGTGAGCGACCACCTCTTCCACCATGTGAGAACACTGCTAAAAGTTGCCATCTATGAACCAGAGTGGGCCCTCAAAAGACCCTGAATCTGCTGGTGCCTTGATGGTAAAATTCTCAGACATTAGAATTGTGAGAAATAAATTTCTACTGTTTATAATCTATGCAGTTTATGGTATTTTTTTAATAGCAAGACAAAGAGACTAAAATTCAGCAACCTTTCCTAAACTAACTCAGAAGAGCAAAATGTCCTGATTTCTTAACATGAAAAATGGATGGGTGAACCAACAGTGTAATGCGGGCAATATGTTAGAATGTTGGCCAGAGACATATACTAACCCATTTATTTTTGGCATAATCTTGAAGCTGGTTCTAGTGTTCTAAACTCAGGGTTCATTCTAGATTGTAATTCATATTTAAATATCCTGAAGCAATGGAAGAATAGCACCTAGATCCTTAGCAATGGCTAAAAATCACACCAGAGGAGGCACTTTTGCTCCCTTGAGCACTAGTTAAGCTAAAAAATATTTCAAATTATAAAAACATTTGTATCCAGACCCAGAGGAGTCCAGGACTTTATCTCAGATCACATTTTCTTATGGAATCAATATAATGAGAACACCACCAATTCGATCATATGTTCTTGGCTTTATTAGAATGAAGGGTAAGTTTGTTCAGTAAATTCACAGGATATGACAATGTATGCTAAGTCTGGGTCTCTTTCCTGGTCCTTGTTTTCTGTACGCTGTACCAGAGGGTTGAACTTCACTGGCTGAATTTCATAGGTGCACTTAAGGATTGGCTTCCAGCTATGAAAGCCAATGGAAGCCACTGGCAGGATATAATAGTTGGAGGGAGAAGCAAAGTCTGGAGGGTTTATTAGTTCTTCCCTCACGGCTGTATTCATCCACCCGTCTGTCACAGGTTGCTCTTCTACTTGAGGATCCAACTCCTCCATGATTCTTGCTTTGCCTGGATAGGCCTACTCTGGTTTCAGGTTTGCTGTAATGATACAGACCCTCTTTTCCTTTCTAGCCTAAAGGAGGCAGTAGCTTCCTACTGTGGCTAATTTCTTAGTTTCCTTACTTTTATCTCAGTTTCTTCATCACTTGAGTAACTAGTTCTCTGCATCAAATTAAGATCCCATTGGTGTAAATACTTAAATGATTTCTGTTGTTTGGTTAGACATGAGCAAAACACCATGCCTGTCAATGTCATGGTTCATGATTTCATAATGTTATTTCCGTTTTCTATTCCACTACCCCCAAATCAAGTTTATGATGGCATCACAGTTTCAATTTGCCCCTAATTGAGAGATGTATTACCCTTTCATGGGCAAAGTCAAAAGATGAATAGACCAAAAGGAGGTTTATGTCCAACTGGAATACTTTGCCTCTGAAGAAGAAATGTTATTTCTACAACAAGCAATTAGTGACCACTTCTGCTATTTGAATTACTTTTAATTCCCATTACATGTTTGAAAATCATTATTTAGTATTCCAAGAAGAGTGAACAGAAGGCATTTACTTTTTAAAACAGTTTCTTTTTGGAGCAAAAACAAACATTAATATCATAAGAACCTGCAATTACCATAGTGATCCCCTGTCTGATTATACTCATTGGGGTAACAAAAACACTAGATTCTGTTTTTTATATTTCAGAATCCAAGTACTGAAGCTATTGATCTGTAATTCTATAGTTGAGGTCAATGCTACTAGGTCACCTGCAGGTTATTTTGTGGGAATTTAACCCACTGACTACAAGGACTCAATTCCCTGGAAATGACTTTTGCTGAAGGCATTATTAGTACAGTGAATGTAACCTTGGTAGAAAAACACAGTTATAGAGTTTTATGATAGGTGATGCAGTCTTGTGGCTACAGGCCTGCAGGGGGTCTGGACATTTCCAGTAGATCTAAATCCTAGGAAATGTACTGTTTATTTCTATTCCCATCTTTTTCAATCTGATAAAGCTACAGATCAAAAGAAAAGAGACAACAAGCAGTGTCCTTTTTTTGTTTGTTTTATTTTGTTTTAATGTCTGCATTTTCCAAAAGTTTCTGGGAAAGAAAAGGAGAGGAGAAAACACTTATTGACATTTCTGTTCGTTGTCTCATGGAATCTGCAAAATAACAAAGCATGAGTTACTGAAGAAGTAGAAAGATCATGAGGAAAATAACTTCTAGCTCTAACAGTTACTATAAGAATTAAATAAGAAAACATTTTCTTGCCATATCCTCCTATATTAGCTGCTTTCTGATTGATTTTAAGAGAAATCAGTTTTTTAGAAGAGCCCCAAGTTTACATAGCTCAAAATATTAGATTTAGCATTTAACTCCACACTAAAACACAAATAACTTTCCATCTTTTTAAGTTGCCTTGATGAATAACTACCAACCTGTTGCCAAATATCTGTTACATTGTCCTTTATTAGGCTTATATGTCCTAAATCATCAATATATAAGATAACAATCAATTATTTCTACTTTTTAAAACTGAAGTTAGAATTAAATTAAAGCTCAGAAATTTTAGTATTGTAGTTTTAGTTTAGAAATAAGATAGAACTTTCCAAGAGTAAGCAAAGTTTCAGTATGTTTTATTAGATATTAAAATCATTCAATTTTTTAAATGTTACCTTCTCTGAGAACATTCTTAACACTTTTTTCTAATCAATTTTAAAATTCATTATGATATCACAGTGTTATTTTCCTGTTTCATATGAGCACCTATTATAGGTTTAATTTTATTAGTGTCATTTTATTACAACTTTTTACTAGTATCTAATTATAATCTTCAAA